TCTTTCCCTTTTGCTTTTCCAACTTTATTTGTTAAATTGTTAAGGTTTGAAGGACTGTTAGGTTTACAACAACAAAGCATGTGAACCTAAATAAATGAACAAATAAATAAAGTTGTTTGCTGTTTTGGTAGCATCTAACTGGAAAATAAAAAAAATAAAGGATATGCTTTGCAGCTTTAAGACATCACAGTTGTGAAAGTCTTACTGTGTATCCTTTACTCTTGGTATAGTTTTCTAATGATTTGTCTTTTGGTCATTATACACTTGCCATCCAAATCAGATATAGTAACTAACCAAAAACAATGTCTACAATGGCAAAGAGTTTTCGGGTGCAACATTTGGAAGAATTATGGTTAATTGTTCTTGGGAAATCTCTGAAAAAACATTGTAAATTGTTGTGAACTATATATGATGACTGACCGGGTACCATATCCTTTTGCATTGCATTTTATCAAATGACTTTCTTCCTACGCAACATGCTCTTCATTTTGATGATACTGATAATACAATGATGTTCCCCATAAGGAAAAGGATAAAAGAATGATTAATAATAATATGGTAAAGGTTCAGCTTCAAATAATGTCAATGACTTCTCTTTCAAAAAAGAGAGCTTCAAAGGTTCTGTGACATCTAAGAAAAAAAAAAAATGTTCCCTCAACTCTAGCTCGTCTTATCCAATAGTTGTAGTCATAGTTTTAAAAATCGAACCGGTTAAGGTACTGGGTCAGTGGATCAAAGGTTGAACCGGTGGGTCATTAGTTGAACTGCATGACTCGGTTTTTATTTATTTCTATTAAAAAAATATTCATATTAAATATATTTTATACTTATAAATTTTAATAAATTTATATCTTATTTTAAATTTCAATTTTTCTATCTTATTTAAAATTATTTTTATTTTTATTTTGTAAAAAAATACATAAAAAATTACATGTTAAATGGTATATTAATACAAATTAAAAATATAAATAATATGTACATATATAATATGCTTGCAATTAATATCACAAAATAATATATGTAATATTTACATAGATATTGCATTATTAAATATATAATTTAAAATTAATAATATACTATAAAAGTTATTTAAGTTGTATATATTGCAAACAAATATATTACAAGTAGTCATTGTTATATTTAATAAGACTCCTTGCTTTTCCATTAAGAGATTCAATTTTCATTATTATTTTTTGTGGTTTATGATCCCTTAAAAAAATTTAAAAAAAAAAAAAGAAAAAAAATGGTTGAACTGGTTTGACCCACCGGTTCACCGGTTGAACCGGAAAATTGACCGGTTCAATCCGGTTTGAAACGAGTCGACTGCATAACCGATCCAACTTAAGATTCAGATCCGTTGAACTACCGGTTCCCGGTCTAACCGGTCCGACCAGCCGGTTCAATCCGGTTTTTAAATCACTGGCTGTAGTGTCACATGTCCTGAATAGCGTACAAGGGTCACATTCTAAGAATGACATTTCATTTTTTTTTTTTCTTATACCGACCAAAATGACAAAACTATGCCTTTTTGGCACCTTCGTATGGTAAATGGGGCACTTAACATTTATCGATCCAATTTCTCCTACACAACTCAAGTATTATCAAATTGCGGAATTCAAAATAGTTTGTAAGATAAAAATTATTTCACTTATATATTATATTAAGGTCTTATAATTAATCGATGAGAGATTTCAAACATACTTATTTAGTGAAGTTTGTAAAATTAAATACTTAATAGTAGTTTGATAATGATCTAATAATAAGATACATGATAAATCCAACATTAAATATTAAGAAAAACTTTAATATCATTTTAAAAACGTGAAATTGACATAACATATAATTCTATAAAACAATTTCAAGATTATCTCACTTATAAACTTTATTTTAGTCAATTTTCTAATTGATATATATCACATAAGCTTTTTTCAATATGTTCTTGTTTCTCTAATTATGACTAGTAAAATTTCCTAGAAGAAAGTTTTGGCATCCAAGGTTTTGGAAGCAACAAGAAGCAAATGAGTAAATGACATGTGATGCACATGTAGAGTCTCCTTATTAAGCGTATTTTGTGTTCTTGCAAATGCCCCTAACTAAATTTGGGAATTACGTTGGCCCTGCTTCTTTAAACACCAACATTAAAGAAAAAAAAAAAAAAAGAACATGAAAGCTACATTCTAACTTCTAAGTTTGACTCTCCACCTAAAGATGGGAATCTTCAACTGATTTCAGGCAAAAGAAGATTCTTCCATCCTAAACAAGATAACCCCTCTTGATTGGAATGGTAACTAAAGTCATTTGGCGATTGAGTAAAACATGGGAAGACTTCAACTAGTTTTAATTATCAAGCTAGTTATGGTGTCACATTCATGAAATCTTTATCTTATTTTAAATTCTTTGAAATGTTTGCTTTTGTTCTAAACAACAACAACGATAAGTCAAATTGAAAAGTAATTATTTGCCTGTTTTGTCTAATTTTGGAATGCTGAGATGATTACTTGAACAAATTTGGAGGATCAAATTGAAAAGGGAAGTTCAAATGCAAAGTCCACACTTAAGGTCCAAGATCTTTCTTTTTTTTCTTCCTAATCCTAATTCGTTCAGAAAAACTTGACTAGTAAGAAGGTACTGAAAGCCCACATTTACCTTTAGTATAACACTCCCATGGTTTTTTTTTTTTATTAATTAAATTATTCTAGATTTTTTTGTGTGTGTATTATAGTGACAAAGAAATTTGAATGTAGAGTCTCATGTATATAATATTCGAACCTCCTACCTCTGCCACACTGATTTTAGTGAATATTGTTTTAGATTAGTTAAAATTTCAACTGGGAATAATTTTTTTTTTTTTGAAGATGATGAGACACACTAGTATTTTAAATAGAGGGAAATGCTCATCAGTCTTCTAATATTTAGCTCATATGCTAATCAATTTTTATAATTAAAAAGGATGTATATTAACATCTAATGCATATAAACAGTGCAAGGGTAGTGAAGGTTTGCTATAAATCCTTAAATAACTAAGATACAAGCCCTCTCATAAGACTTTAATCTTCAAAATAAAATAAGCAAAATGATCCCAAGTAGTAGATTTTTGGAAGCTACTCTTGCATTTGCCTCCACACTTTGATTCTTTTGTAACATGTTAAAATAAATTAGTGAGATATATGTATCGGTTAATGTTCTAAAGACACACACGACATATAAAATATAACAATTACTTTCATATATATGGTATATAACTTTTCAATTAAGAAATAACATTAAAACATGAAATAACACATCAAATTTATATAATATCGCTAACTTCTTTAGACCTTCATTCATTCTCGTTGTTTTTGACAGATTTAAGTTCAAAATATCAAGAAGTGTCTCTTTTACTCGTGTCACTTACCATTTCCTTGTTAAAGAGGATCCTTAAGAATTCTTTGAAAATTGAAGGAAACAAATATCCTTTCTTTATCAAAACGGATATATTACATCTTAATTTTTCCCATAACATTCATCTTTGGTCATTCTTTGATTGTGGGTACAGGAGTTGAGTTTATACCTCAATTAAGGGTGGTAAAATGAGTCAGTCCGACCTATTTTGGCTCGATCTGCTAATGACCCGCCAAAAATAGGTTAGACTGGGCCAACCCGCCAATGAAAAACGGGTTGGGAACGCTGACCCGCCCCACCTAAGGACGGGTTGACGGACTATCCTGCATACCACAAAAAAATGAAAAAAATATATATTTTGTTCAAATAAAAAAAAACTGCTACAAATAAATAAATATAAAATTGCTTTAACGGTGTTAATTTTTGGCCACGTGGATGCCACGTAAATGCATACTAGATGCCACGTGGACGAGAATTTTTTTGAAAACACCTGGACCCAGAACGCCCCGTTCTGAAACCAGAACGGGCCGTTCTGGGTGCACTTTTGGTGTGTTAATTTTGCATACATTTTTCATTGAAACATTGGCTAGCTACGAGTTATGTTTATAGTTTCTCATTTTGTAGTTTAGGATGTATCATAATTTGTAAGTTACTTTGATTACATATATGGTTGACATTTACAACTCTTTTCATTTGTATATAATTTAGTATATTAAAAACATATGAATTGTTTGATATTTTATTAATTTACAGGTTTTTTTTTTAGGGATCCTCCTAAAATAAGTCAAATATTTTAAAAAAAATTAACCACTTTTAACATCGGTCAGCGACCGATATTAAAAGTCTCACTTTTTAAAATCGATCAGAAAACCGATTTTAAAAGTAAAAAATGACTGATTTTAAAAGTGTTTTTTCCATTATATTCGATCTCTACTCACAATCATAAATTTATGTAATGACCTAACAATAATAAGTTTGATATAAAAAATCATGGCATATAAACACTTTCTATCTTACAGGCTTCTTGTAAGATTCATTGCACATAGTACACGTTCTTTTGGTTACTTACATTATACACGTTTTTATTGAGTTCGAGAACATGCACTTAACCAGCAAAATAAAACAATATGGACAAAGAACTTTTGTCTTTTCAAAAGTATATTGCATGCATTTTCATTGTAACCTGATGGTAGTTTGAAATAAAAAATGGAGCCAAGTTTTCATATTTGAATGAGCATCACTAGTGAATTTGTCCCTTGACTTAAAAAAAAAAGTATATTCTTTGATTTTCGAATGAGAAATTCATCTAATTAAATTTATTCATATAAGTTGATTGTAATTTATGTGTGTGTTAGTCTCTCGTTTTAGGTCCACATGTATATTGTCATTCTCGCTGATGTCCATCAATCAACACTTGGGCCTCAAGCCTCACTTGGGCCTCCAGCCTCATGGGGACAG